GCGGGCTGTAAGTATGTCAGACTGGCGGAAAAAAATACTGAGCCTTTGAGTGCGGCGGAGGTTATGCAGCCCCTACTTCAATTTTCTTTTCGGACGTACGTTCCGACTCCTTATTATGCTGAAGAGGATATAGGGTGACTGTAGTTTGCTTGTGTTGTCAGTGGCACTTTAAAAGCCTATGCCACTGTCCAGGACGATTTAGTGTCATTTTCTAAATTTTGATTGAAAAATGCAACTCACGGACCAATACTAACTGACCGGTGCTAAAGGGAACCTAAGTGCATTCCGAGGCCAGAGCCACCAACCGGCGCGTCAGAGGTAAATTACCACAACTCAATCACCCGTGCTTTTGTCTCCGTTTCGCCAAGGTCTGCACAACCTGGCAGGAAGCAAGTTCAGACAGTATTTGATTTGGAAAGCTAAATTAATTTTACAACGCGGTTAGCCGAAACTGTCGACTGTGGGCATTTTCCGCCTCGGAAGTAACTGCGGTTGCACACACAAGTAATTTTTCCACGGTTAAAGTCCAGACCGGGTAGGCAAGATTGACACAACGAAGAATGCCTACTAGGAAGTTTTGGAGAACCAAGTTTCCTTTTAGCAGGACGGTTGTCAGAATGTTGAAGAAGTTAATCCTTGCAGCGCGTTATGTTCTGTGATAATGCCCATTGAGGAAGTCAAAGTTGGAAAACACGCGCTTTGCACTATTCAACATCAGGCCTGGATAGTAATATTTTTTACATTAGGGCGGTGGAGGGTGGACATTAGTCAAGTGTCGAGAGTAGAGCGTTAAGGGTGACTAGAACTGCCAGACAGAAGGAGGAATTAGGATTTTTTGAGAGCAAAGGGCGTGGGGGAGGGTGAGAGTGGAGTGCGATTTCTCCTCTGTGGCGTGGCACCCTGGGATGTGAGTGGGAACGTGTGAGGTCATTAGCGCAGACTGTAGGTTCTGACTTGGAGCGTGGTAGCTAGAGCGCTTGAACGAGCGCCACTTACTAGCATAATACCAAGTTTGAGAACTGTATAGCCGCCACTTCTGCTGTTGCCGACGTAGGAATTTAAAGCGTTTCACCGGCACCTTGTAGATGATTGAAAAAATTTGATTGACGCCTATTCGGTGACCGCTTTCAACCAGATGAGTCACTTTTGACCAGGAGGTGGGCACCACCGCGCCTTTGTTGGTCCAAGCAGGATGGTGCTTTTGCATCCAATCGGATAGACGCCTTGGGGAAGGGGGCGGGACGGCAGGGGGAGCATCTGCCAATAGACTTAATAAACCAAGATTTGTATGCACTGAAGTAATCTTAGTCGTTTTTTTGAAAACATGGTGTGAATTGGACTTCTATGATCTTATTTTGACTACTTTTTTGCTCTAGAATTCACGCAACCTTTGAAATACAGTCACATTTCTTCATTTGGACATGATTAAGACCCCTGTCGAGTCCGCTGTTAAGAAATTATTTATTTTGACTCAGTCATTTGAGCTGGTCAGGATGGGGTCTTGTGGCATGTCCGATTCCGGGTGGTTTTGTTCTAAGATCTTAATGGCACTAGTTCACAAGAGTGCACTCGAAGTACTCGGCTTCTGCCGGGTTTGGAATATTAGACCTTTCGTATGGCCCTGGGAGTCCTCAAAATGAACTATCTCTAATCTATTTCCTATATGACTAGAAAAACAGCGTGCGACCTAGGGACAATTCTCCGAGAAATACCTTATTGAGAATTTGGCTTTTGAAATTATGGAAGCACCGCTTAGGAGCGTTGGGAAAGTGGCCTCCACGTTCACCGGGTAGAAACTAAAAGGGAGTTCCATCCATTTCAATTCGGTCCGCTCTGTGGTCACATGCTCTAAATAGCTGCTGAGTTGTCACCGTTCTTCGTTGATCAATTCTTCTGATATCGACGTATGTCAATACAGATTTGGATGGAGCTCTCTGAGCTTCGTTACCCGGTCTTTTTTACTCGGTTTTCGGCCCGACTATTGGACGTTGTGCTGAGAAAGATTGTCCGATTTTTGCGAAATCTTCCAGTGCTCATGAGGATGTTCTCGGTTCTCGATTCAGCTCATGGTGAGCTCCGAAAGCACGTTCGCTTCAGCAAGTATGGTGTTATTGTTCTCAACACCTATGGGTCCTCGGGTTCTGTAGGTTTGGTTATGATACCCATGTAAACATTGAAGGAGTCAAACTTGTCGAACGGTCCTTTTCGCTTATTCATCATCTAAGTACGGCAGCGAAGGGTGAAAAGACAGCCACTGCTGTCGCGTAACTTTTTTCTTTATTCAACAATTCGCCTGCCCTCTCCCTAAGTGGAATTTTGGTCATTCGTCACAAAGTGGCTTGTAGAAAAGTGAGTAATTTTGTGAATATCTTTTGTAGCTTTGCCTTTACTACATATAAGGAGTAAAGCGACGAAAACATCAGAAAAATTGGCAGGGATTTGCGTTCCTTTATTCCTTACTAAATATTGGGTTATGTAGCCTCCTCTGTTTGCCTTGAAAATAAGGTTTCCAAAATTGCTAAATTACTGCAAGTCATGAAGAATCAATTGGAGTCGCGCGTACCAAGACAAACACTAGAAGCTGCCGCAACCGACTAACTCTTCTACTTTTTGCCTCTGTCAACTCACTAGGGGATTGAAGGGGATTTAGATTCCCTCACTCTGAATACCAAAAGTTGTATCGTCCTCACTTCGTAGTCATTCGCAAGCCTTTTCCGTGATTTCCAGACGTCGGCATTTTTCCTCACGACCTTCCAGGAAACTCCGGTGGCGTTGGCTGCGTGAGACTTTCAATCCTCCCGTAGGAACTGGTCGCCCAAATGCAGTGTTCGTACTCTTTATTCCTGCATCTGAGGACCGTCTCCGTTACTTCTATACCCGTTGCAAATCAAATTTATGCCAGCGCCTTGTGCAGGAAATTCAATCGAGTCGTTAAAAGCATCACACAGAGTTGGGCACTTAGCATATGACTCATCACCGGCAGTGAACCAGGGTAAAATCGCTAGGCTGCCGGTTAATTGGCAAGCGCGTACGTGGTGGTGGTGGCGTGAATGATGGTGACGACACCAATTAGGATTTCATGGTTGCCATGACTGGTGTTGAATCAGCTGTTGATGCTAACACCCTGATTTTACGCCTGTTGCATCAAATACTCCCCCATTGTACCCCCTCGTTGTATACGCAGACGTTTCAAGGATAGGTTTGCCTACTTGGTCTGCGCGAGGTCACTAGTTGACTGCTATGACAGAGGATAGGATTGGGGGAGGGGGGGGGGGCAGACCTCACTTATTAGTGGGCTAAGGGACCTGGCAAGTCACATTCTTTGTGCAAACATGAACGTCGATAGTTGTAGCACTAAATAATTGACTGATACACAGATCTCGATGAACGCCTAGAGCGCATTCTTCACACGTGGAGTGCTATTTACCCTCAGCCCTGTGCAATCCTTGTCGCCACATTCTGCTTTATTCTACCAGCCAGGAGATTTGAGCGCTCTTCTCAGCAGCCCCTATAGCACCTTTGTACGTTCGTTCCAGAGATCCTATGGCAGTCATTGCAGGGTATTACCGCCGCTACTGCTGCTGTTAGCAACCCCTGCCCTACCCTACTGCCGGCCATTATCTTCTCGTGGCTGGGCTTTACGGGCGTGATAGTGCCTATGCTCTTCTCATTGTTCATGCTAGTGACGCTGATAGGGAGGATGAGGCCACTATGTGTCCACTTGAGGCAAAACGACGCTGTTAGAAATCCTCTATGCGTGCGTCCGAGTTTCATCATCAGCAGCCGTCTATGGTGCGTGTACGCATTCCTCACACTGGGCGTCAGCCCTTCTCTGCTGCCGCCTAGTCCACTGTGTGACTCACCGTGATATTCACTCGCTCAGTGCCTCAGGGGACATTTTCCGTCACGCCCAAATGAGTTTGCCGGTGGGCACACGCAACCTACAACCGCCTGGCTACTTCCTATTCTCTACGTCACCGCCCGCGCATATTGTATGCGTCTATGCGTGCTGTACTCTCCACCCTCTCTTTCAGCGTGTGGATGAGAACTGGAGCAAAGGCCTCTACCGTCTGATCCGCATACCGTGCCGCAGTGACACCACCAAGGGCGTCTACTGTTTGCAGTACGATTCGGAGAAGATTGTCAGTGGTCTGCGCGATGACACAATCAAAATCTGGCGTCGTGTAGGCTCGCACGCCAGAAGTGGCGCCTCGGTAGGAGGGCGCCTGAAACCGGGGATGGGTGCTGGCACGAGTACCTCTGCTGGTGTTGCGGCTGCTACCTCCTACAGTCCAGGCGGGAGTACAGTCCGACAGGTGAGGGAGCCCACGTCGGCTTCAACGTGGACTCCTGGCCAGGAGCAACCAGCGTTGCCCGAGGACGAGGCCGTTGGTGCCGATGCCGCCGCCGGCGGCGAACACCAGGTGCCACCGGTCGGTGAGGCGCAGGTAGCCGCAGACTCCGACGGCTACGAATGCACTCAGGTAAGCCAGAGCTGTCTTCACTTTGTGGTGTATTACGGGCCCCACGAACGAGCTGCCTAGTTGCGCCAGACCCAACATGGAGCTAGATTTAGCGAAAGTGAAATGTCTAATCGGTTGCCCCGGTATCGTTGGATGGTTAGTGTGGAAAAAGAGTGGGGTTGATGCTGCACAAGTCACCACGCGGTCATCATCGGGTGCATTTGGGGCATGAGTAGGAATCGAGCATTGATACACACGAACCATACTGTGTGATTCGAATTGTGCGCGAGTTCATCTTCCAGTTTGTTGTTTGGTCAATTTCTGAGAGTTTGCTGCTGACCCCTTATACTATGAGTCTGTTTTATGCACGCCTTCCTTCATAGGTACTCGAGGGTCACACTGGCTCGGTCCTCTGCCTGCAGTATGAGGGCAATCTCCTCATTAGCGGTTCCAGTGATTCCAGCGTCCGCCTGTGGGACCTGTCTACGGGCGAGTGCCTGCACACTCTGCGCCATCACAGCGAGGCTGTCCTTCATCTACGCTTTCGCAACAATATCCTGGTGACTTGTTCGAAGGTCAGCCTCCCCACCTCCCGCCTTTCATCTACTGCTGTTTCCGCCCCTTACCCCTCCCCGGGCCCCCTCTTCCAATGGAGAGGCGTCATTTCGACCTGTGTCTCAGGCTACGCCGGCACTGTTAGCACTGTGTCCTGACATCCAGTCGAGTAGATCGCAGCTGCGCTCTGTTGGCGCGGCTGTGTAGACGGGCTTCCGACGGGTAGTCAACTCTGCTGTACACCGTAGCTGCTGTCGTCGGTGCGCCCTATAATAACGAGGATTTTCATGCATCCTTGTCCTGCTAATTGTTTTGAAAATATTCAGCAGCAGACATAAATAATGATTTGTCTCTACAGACTTACCATTTATACCTTTTTTTCGAGAATGACTCTGATTATCGATACAAGCGGAGATGCGAGTTCCAGGAACTAGTTGATCAGAAGAAGAAGCGATTGCTGGAACAAGGGCTTTATTCACCTGACGTTTCGGATTCTTACTTGAATCCATCATCAGAGACAATGGCAAAAAGGGGCCTCTGATGACGGATTCAAGCGAGAATCCGAAACGTCAGGTGAATAAAGCCCTTGTTCCAGCGATCTCTTCTTCTTCTGGCGACTCTGATTAATCCAGTCCAATCAGCCTTCTTAGGGTACGATTCGAAATAACAACTGCCTTTCGTACGCTCCACTCGTATTTGTGCGCGTGCCGTTTGCGTTCATATTTTTTCACACTCTCATGTCTACTAAAACAGCATTTTACATAATCTGTCATATCTGTTCTGACTCCTCCCTGCGTCGGAACTTCGAGAACTGCATATAGCGGCTTCTGGTTGCTGACGACCAATGCAGGTAGAAAATGCGATTTTCGTTTTCAGCCTCCAGACCTGGTGTCCGATCACACCCAACTTTGCCCTGTTCTGACATCCTGCCTTGTTGTTTGTTCTTTGTAGGATCGCAGTATCGCCGTGTGGGACATGGGACCTTATCCACAGGACATCCAACTGCGCCAAGTGCTTGCAGGACACAGGGCAGCTGTCAATGTGGTCGACTTTGATGAGAAGTTCATAGTATCTGCCAGCGGTGATCGTACGATTAAGGTGGGTAGTTTTTCGACAACTCTGGGCATGCCTACGTGTACTGCAATCTGAGATACTTAGTGGGCCAGTCTAGGCCGGGAGACACGAGGAATATGTATGCCCTGCTTTCAGACTCTCCGCCAATTACCGATTTCAGCAAATGCGTTTCAGCTCTGCACACTGCAGTGACTGGTGGATGCTTGTGCGGCTAGGTTTTTATGTTCTGCCTGAGGTAGGTGGCGTGCATTCGGTTACTCCCTATCTTACCTTCGGCGTTTCGGGCAGTCATATGGGTGTTCATTTTATTGCTAGTCTCAGAGCCCTTTAACTCTCAGGTCACGTGACGTGGGTGTCCTAGGAGCGTTATCACGTTGACCTTTTATACTGAAACCGTAGTTGGATAAAAAATTACAACAGGAGGCTGGGCCACGGATATGAGGGTCTACGACTTCACTTTCTGACTGGAAGTATTCTGGTTTTTTTCTCACCTAAGATCTCTCCGAAGTCAGTGCCAGTTTTGCACTTCCTGCCCTGCTACGAACTTAATGGCTTTTTCTGCCGTTACTAGTTAATTGGCCTTGTGCGGCCCTTCGCCCGTCTCAGATCGACATTCCCCTGTCTTATCATCGGTTAAGCTGTATTCGGACGTGAGTCGCAAATATACGCACTTTTTTCACGGATATCTGTACACAATTGGAGCCAGTTTTATGCTTTTTCCCATAGCTCTTTATTTTCCTACTTTTGTTCATCATACCCGCCTTCGGTGCACTTAGGTTAGCGCGTGCTGTGGCTGCGCAAACTAAACCTACGTTTCTCGCGTGACGCGATTCTCAGAATGTCCTAGTAGTTTACTAAAGTGGCTCAATAAGTGTTTTTTTGAAATATATGGATACCTGTGCCGTCGCATATGCTGCGCGCTCAACTTAGTACCTGCCGACCTTTGCTGGGCCGTCTGTTCGCACTTTATTGCGAGACAGAGTACTCTGTCTCTCTTCCTGGGTAATGACTGACCTGCAATCTGCCCCCGCCCCCTGTCTTCACGCATAGGTAAAAGCGCGTGACGCATGTGGTAGACCGTCAACCCCACATAAACAGAACCGGTCCAACTCTCTTCCCTCATCCATTATCCCTTGATGCTGAGTCACAGGCAGGCCGCTGAGGTCGGACTCGATGTCCGACTTGACAGAAAGCTCACACGCGTGTACAACAGACTCAAATGGGCTTGAATTCCACAACGACAGGTTCCCTACCCTTCTCCTGGCATACTACCCCAACCGGTGTGTACAAGCGTAACTATTGAGTGCAGGGTCACTCCGATGGCTGTAGCTACGGCCGTGGTGACCATTTGTTTGTCTTGTATAACATGAGCCAGAAATTCCGGATTTCTAGGTCTTTTCTATGGTTGTATGTGTGTGAGAGAGAGGGTATCAACACTAACTTATTAACGCCTTGTCGGTATTTCGTTCCCCCATCTCGTAGGTCTGGACAACAGACACCGCCAATCTCGTGCGAACGCTGACTGGCCATCGGAGGGGAATCGCCTGCCTTCAGTACAGGGCACCGCTCATCGTCTCGGGCAGTTCGGACAACACAATTCGCATCTGGGACATTGAGACCGGTGTTTGCTTCCGCGTGCTGGACGGTCACGATGAACTGGTGCGTTGCATCCGCTTCGACTCCAAGCGCATCGTATCTGGCGCCTACGATGGGTAAGACATGTTGCATGAATGGGTCCTGAGAAATGAGTAGATTATTTTGACCCATCTATAAAAAAACTCGACAACTCGGTGGAATTTGAACCAACGACAGCGAGGGGAAGGCCTGAGTATAGCCAATACTCTTCCTGCTTGAGCTTGGAGGCCCCACTGGGGGCCATGAGTTTAATCACGCTTTGGTCAGGTTACTTGACCAGTCTACTGAAACTTATGGAATCCACCAAATCTGATACAGTTAACTGGCTTCCCAAACAGAGTTTCCTACGCAGTTAAGGCGAATGCGTCTGGTGTATGTTGGTGCTCCAGGCTCTGGTTCACCAGTCTCTGTGCGATGGATTTGCAAGCGGCCGGTCAGACCGATGTGTGTGGTGAACGTGCGGTGACTGTGGGCAGATAGGTTACGGGATGTTGGGTCAGTTGTTGTTGTGATTCCACTAGTGGTGGTCGCCCCGGTCGATTCGAAATCGATAGGACTAGGGATGGAAGGGTTGGCAGATGCGCCAGGTGTGTTAAGTGTGCCGATACTGCGGTGACTTCCGCTGTTGTAGATACGCACGTGATCGAATAGGTCCATACGTGGATAGTGTGGACAACGAAGGCAGATGCGACGAGTGTATGTGGGAAGTTCCTGGCCCTGTCGCGTCGCGACGGATTCGCTAGTGACCGACCAGGCCAATGCGTGAGGTGAATGTGCGAACGCAGTGAGAACAATCTAGAACCAAATGCACATCACCTGAGACTTGCGAGCTCTCCATTTTGTTTTGGAGACTGCGATCCGTTTGGCTTCATACACTGATGCTCCAGTCTTCACTGCCCTCTTCCAAGCTGGTCGACTACATGCGGAGTCTTCCCAAGTCTTCGCGTTTATTTGTATTCTCTTCAAGGTGTCCTTGCATCGGCTAGTTTGACTTCCTTGTCGACGAGCGCCTGTGGCGAAATCTCCATAGGAGAGTTGTTTTGGTGGGCACCCATTGTCCATCCCCACGAGGTGACCGTTCCAGCGTAGTTTCAGTTGTCTCAGCATGGTCTGGATGCGGAGGATTCCAGTGCATTCCAGAACTCCTGTGTCTGGGATACTGTCCTGCAACCTCGGCTTTGGTATCCGACGAAGACAACCGAAGTGGAAGTGGTTAAGTTTTCGCCTTTTCGAGATGGCCGCCGGGGCGTTTGAGGAAGATGAGAGCGAAGGTCTTCCCGACTATGCGTATTAGCTATATTTTTCTGTGGTCATCACAGAGTTGCCGGTTCCCTTTCCGCCCATAGAGATGAACGATTGCCGCATCCTTGAAGTCCTGAGCAACTTGTCTCTGACGCCATATCTCCCGGAATAGCGTTGTGAGTTTATCCATGAGCTGGGGGCCGCTGTGCTTGTGGACTTCGACCGGGATCGCACTGATTCCCGGTGCTTTCCTGTTGGAGATTTAGTGCACAGCTCGGCTTGTTTCTGGGAGGGAAGACGGAAGATCCAGATCGTCGTTCGTCTTCACTTAAGGGAGTCGGTCGATGGCGGCGTCAGGGATTGTGGACGGGCGGTTGAGGACAATTCTGAGGTGCTGGGCCCAGCGCTTCAGAATCGTTGTTCCACGAGGCGGCGATGGCGGGAGGCCTCCTTGTTTGCGTCGATCAGGTGGTATATGTAGGCCCTATACAACCTGTGCTTTTCAGCCAACAGGCTGTGGATGTTTGCGTCGTCGTAGAACCAGTTCTGATGTTGGCGACGTGCGCGTCCGAGGAGGTTTGAGGCAGTGGATTCGATGACTTTCCGCAGTTGACACCACTGACTCTACATTTGCGTTGTCGTCCGGGGCCGGCACTTTTTCGAGGTGCTGAGCTAATTGATTGCTGAAATGTGGGCGGTGAACAGACAAATTCAATAAAGCAGTATTTAATTTACCTGGTGGTCGCTTACCTTGTGGTCTCTTCCGGGATTGCAGTGGGGGTGCGTGATCTTGGACATGACGAGGCGTTGATCCGTCCAGCTGTCGGCGTCGCCTGCGCCGCGCCTCCCTGTCCTTGGACGGTCGCTCCAGAAGATGTAGCCAGCGCCAACCTCCTTCAGTTGGCCTTGCTTTGAGAATCGGGTCTTGCGGAGAGCAACGATGTCCACCTTGCAGCTCGCCAGTTCTCATGCGACTAGCGCCGCCTCCTGTTCCGGCCGCTTGCGCCTCGGTTTCTCTAACAGAACGAACATTCTAGACTGTCAGATTAAGCAGACTCACCTCAGCATCCGGTGGGGCGGTGCGGTGGGGAGGTTGACGAGGTTGATTGTTGTTTATTGTGGTTTTTGACCGCGATTTTTGCGTCTACGAGTCCCGGTATATTAGCGGACAATGTGATTTTCCGCCATTTGTTTACGGCACATTTTCTAACCCCTTCCCCAAACGTCGGGTAAGCAGTGCCATCCCTAAATAAGGCTGCTAAGACATCCCAGACGACTGCCGAGCCTCACTATGAGTCATGGCCTTGTTTAGTGGAAGGGCGACCCGAGTTAGTCTGAGTCGCTCTGCCCCAATTTAACCCCAATTTATTATTTATCTTTCAGGAAAATCAAAGTCTGGAACCTCAAAGCCGCACTTAACTCCAGATCCCGCACTAACCAGCTGTGCATGCTAACCCTCCATCAGCACACTGGTCGCGTCTTCCGTCTGCAGTTCGACGACTTTCAGATTGTCTCCTCCTCGCACGACGACTCGATCATCATCTGGGACTTTGTCAGCCCGACCGTGGGCCAGGAGGAGTGCGACGATGGTTTTGCAGACGCGCCCTGGTGTGGCCAGCCAGTGCACAGTGGCACTAACCAAAGTGCAAACCCGGTGAACCTATCCTCAGCCATGACGACTGAACCAACTGGTAACGCCATGGGTCCTGGGGACAATGAACACGACTCCGCCTCTCAGGATAACGGAAGCATGTCACGGGGCTTCCAGCAACACCGCCAGGAAATGGATCGGCGACAGCAGCACCATGAGTTCATTGGCACCAATGGTGATCGCATGAATGACCTTTCATCCTCTTCGCCCTCGCCAGATCATGGGCACTGAAGTATCCCTGGCTCTATTGTTCAGTACCACTGCTGTCACCGGTCTACGCACCACAACTTGTCCATACACCCTATTTCCCCCACCCCATCTCTAGCCTTCGCTTCACTGCAGACCTGCTTGTTTTCTATCCGCTCCCTGTACGTCCTCCCGCAGTCATTTCTGGTCACGTTTTCTCTCGCATATCGCATTACGAATGAAGATGGGGTTAGCATCTTCCGCACATCCGCGCTTTTCTATTGCTCAGGTAACATTTGTGCACGGATTTATTCTATCAACGCCCGTTCACGTCTCTAAAGCAGCAACGACAGTTCAACAGATTTTATTCCCCACTGTCCCCTTCCTCCTCCGGGCTGGGATTTCCGCCAGCGTAGTGTAACAGTCGGGTTTTCCGATTAGACTGCATCGCTGGAACAAGAGCTTTATTTGCCCGATCTCTTAAAATCGTACTTGAGTCCATCGCCAGAGGGGACAACAAACCAAAACAGCAGACGCACGGGGATGCAGTGTTTATTGCCTGGAGTTGCTATGCAACAGGTTGCCTAGCAAATCCAACTGGTAATAGCAGTGGCCAGTACGACCATCCACATTAAATGCTAGGCGACCGGTGACTCAAACAGAGCATACTCGGACTGTCACTGCTCACCAACATCCGTTGCCTGGATGGCTGCCGGCTGTTTGGGTTACTCAGTCATGCCTTAGACCGGGAGTCCCGCTGCAACGCCCCGTCCTTTTCGTGGTCGTTATGGCAACTCTCACCCCTATGAGATTCTAGATGACAGAGTTTACTTTAAGTGGAATGCTGAGACGGCAGGCGCAGTCAGGAGCTTCTATGCCGGATCAACTACGGCACCCGCGGCCGTCTGCTGTAATCTTGGCTTTCTTTTGCCAGCGGAATATGCTGCGTGGGAGTTGGTGGGTGTCGCGCAGGCGTGCTCCTCAGCAGGCATCCGTTTTGGTGCTGCTGTTGTTTAAAACCCTGATCAAGTGTTTGCTGTGGAGCAGGCGGTGTAGTGGTACGCCTAAGTGCGGGTCTGGCCGTGCCAGCCACCTGCACCCTCCTTTACTTCCGGTCTTGGCTACGTCTTGGTACCTGGCTCAGGTGGGGAGGGGGATGCAGTAGATGCTGTGCAAGTCTACCCCCACTATGAATTGATTCACGCGCTAGTCACCATGTCTGATTCAGCTTACTGTGGGGTACACGGCGGACATCGTCGGGTACGACGGTTGAACTGCCACGTGTCGCTCAAGCCTGCCTCACTATAAACGGCTTCAGCATTGTCCCCTTTGAAGAGGGGTGGTTCCCGTCTCCTGCGGAGGTCCGACCTTAGACGGATACATCTCATGCAGTTTTTGAAACCCTCCTTGCCCCCACGGTGCGTTGGTCGTATTCCTTCGTCCTGACCCGTGCTCAGACGTTTGGGCTCATGCGCGGTCATTGGTTTCGCGCCTCCGGGCTACTGACTACTTTTTCTTGGCGATATGACGCAGCGAGAGGCACAGCCAAGTCTAACAGTTCGTCGGAAAGGTCCCTAGAGGGGAGTCAATGCTGGCGGCGCCAAAACTGCAATGAGACCGCGTCACTTGCCGGACAAGGACGTTTAAAGTGAGTTGAAAAAAAAAGCCTGGAAAGGCTGAGACCAAACAACAAAGCTTGTAAAACAGTCAATACAGCCTGGGGATGTCGTTTGTTCTTGGTTGCACGTTTAGGGAAATAACGAAAAGGAGCAAATGAGTGATTTTGGGTTGTGGCAAGATGAACAAGTGTGGGCAGTGGCGTTAACGCGGCGCATGAAATTCGCATCCTCAACTGATGGACAAAGCCGCCACACTTCTATCAGGTAGACTCGAGCCACATCTTGAAGCCTGAACGTGTGAAGGCGGTAACCACATCTTAGGGTTCGCGACTGTCAAAGTAGGGGAGGTCTGCCTGGTTCTGGACCCCTTGTCGGGATTTGAAACGGCTTGAAACACCTTCGGAGGTTATGGGGCATGCTCTTAACCTCATGAGCAGACGGAGGCAGTTATCTCTAATTCCCTCCAGTTGGTCGCTTATATAAAGCAGAAGCAGTAGTCGTAGGGCTGGTCTAGCTACACGGAATTGCGTAGGGGGATAGGAGCGCTAGAGTCTCCGTCGGCGTTGGGGATGAAAGGCGCACATCGTGTGCAACACGTTCGCTAGCGAATCTCCTCCCACCTGTCAGACATCAAGAAACGGCGTGCGTGTAAATTTGTCCGGGTTTCAACGAAGCTCGCTATGTTTCAACGGTAGGAGCTGGAAACTGCTCGAACTTGCATGCGGACGCTTGCGGGTAAGGATTGCAGTTGCCTAACACGCGCTGGCTGGCCGGTCTTCTAGTGTTGGCTCTGCGCGAACAAGCCTCCTTGTAGGCAGTGGACGTGCGACCACTGCTAGACAAAGGTGACAGGGTTGGAGAATCACTCACGACACTAGGCCGTATTTCCGGCTGAGAAGGCTGCAGATTACTCGGATCTGCCCACGTCCCATCGCCAGTACGATTCTGTTTGGCTGATCCCAAGCCAACTTACGAGGACAATTTTGTCTATGCGAGGAAGCAGGCGATAGGCTCTGGCCGGACCTGTTGGCTTCCATTTGTCTGCGCAGCGTGTCTTCTCAGTAAATTTGACATTGGGGCGCTCTGCATTATTATTAACATGAGGCCCGGTGTGGTTTGGCTTAGGACACAGAGCAGAAGACGGTGAGGTCACTGGAACCGGATGTTTTGGAATCACACTTCAATCCGCATAAGTGACAATAACAGATAAGATAAATGTTCGCATAAGAGATGCAGGACTGGATGGTCTCACTGAGGTATTTTGACTCCCCATGAGTCAACTTTTCAGCTCGGTGCCTCACCTGTGCGACCATGGATGGCTCAGCGATATCAGCTTCTGACGAGGCAAATGCAGCGTAATCAACTCGATCTGCGGAGGAACCAGATTTTGGCCAGATGTTAAAGCTGTACACGAGAGTTCGATCGTCGCATCCGACTATGTCCACCGTTTGCTCCACAGCAAGGTGAGACAGGCACGGTGACCTGAGTTTGCATTAGTTTATAGTGAGAATAAACCATCGCAGCTTCTACCGCACTCTCCTCTCCCAAATGAGCCTGGTGTCATGACAGAGTCAAGAAGATCAGAGGCAGCGGAGGGCGCAGATGGGTGGCGCGGCCGAGCCTGCGCCTTGGCGCCCCACTACACAACCCCTGATCTACCCAGCAATTGACCAACAACAACAATGCTACGACGGGTCTGAAGGAGGAGTATGACTTGGCAGACATGCTTACGACCTGAATACCCAGCGGGAGCGCAAGCGCATCTACCAGCAGGGAACCAGGTGTCAAAAAACTGCCATCGCATACCGGGCCGCGAAGACCATGGTTTACTGGTCCTGGCATAACGGACGCTCACAAAACTTTGGGCCCAGAATGGCGATACGTGGACCTGCATTTGCCTGGGCCGTCACTCTTCAGGGTTGGGTGGCCAAACAGTCGTCGACTGAGGGGCACTACCCATAAAGCGCATACACACCTCACATGCGTGAGTGTTACAGACCAGTTAAGAATGAGTTGCGACAGCCTGGTCCTCAGTCCGTCACTCCGCACACACACAACTGGGCAGACTGCATGAACTGAGTTGGGGCATCAGCCAACAGCCTTCCAAGCCACGGTGCTCGTCGCACCGTAATAATCTCAGATTTTGATCACACATGCAGCAGGGGAGTTGCACGGAGGAGCCGGGCAGCACACTTCCCACTTTAGTGGGAGGCGAAAATTGGGTGATCGTGATGGGTGATGGGTTTGGGAGGTGTGGGTGCTGGTGGGGGAAGGTGTGCTGGTGTGATGTAACCGGCGCCGGTCTACGGCAAGTTTTCGTGAATGCGCATGCGTCCTAATAGACCCATGCGTCGAGTGAGGGCAGTTGAGGCGGATGCGGCGAGTGTAGGTTGGTGATCCAGGCACTGGTTCGCCCGCCTCTATGCGATGGATTCGCAGATGACCGACAACACTGAGTTCTGCAACCGATCAAAGGCTTCGCTGACCTTGGAGATCCGGTGGGCAACCTTATCATCGATTCTAGTGCTGTTGAAAAGGGTGCTCCCGAGATAAGCAAAATTATCCGTGGTTTCGAGTTGGTGGCCATCGACAGCAACTCGAGGAGTGCAGTGTTTTGTGTTGGATGACGGTTGGTGCCTGGCCACCGTTTTGTTCGTGTTGATATTCAGACCGAAGTCGGCGCATCCGACGGCGAGGAGGTCCATGGTCCGTTGCATGTCTACGCCGGTCGTGGTGTTGAGCGCACAGTCGTCGGCGGAGAGCAGATACATGATAACGTGAACTCAACCAAGACCCTGTTTGTATGAGGCTATTCTCTTACTGCTGGGTTCAAGTGACCGGGGAGGGAATCCTCTTTCTTAAGCTACCAGAGTCACCCTCCGTCTATGTCGCACAGACTCACCGTGGTGATGCTGTGCCGAAGTACCAGAATAACTCACCTTGGACAGTCTCCTCAAGCTTACTTCTACTGTCTTGCTTGTTTTAATTTGAGGGACACAACACTGCTGAATAACCCCCCTTCGTTGGCGTGCTCCACTGTCATTTCATTTGACGTCTTATTCACTAGACTGTTTTACTTACTCCTTACGCAGGGCTCGTGAGATATCGTTCATTAATTCGTGAGAACTATTGCGTGTACATCAATCTGCTAGCTACTTCCCAGTAGAAATTAAACATGAATGCAGCCACATTAGAACACTTCCAATGATCAGTGATTTTATAGGCAACTTTAATGGAAGAGCCCATCTTGCCTCTACACCGATGTGGAGGGAGTTGACAAGGTTATTTATGGCTTAGCATTAATGCCGAATTCTCTTTGGAGGTACATAAGTTTGCGCACAATTTACAAGGGCCAGAATGCTGTAGAATGCGGCTGTTGGATATGTTGGCACCCGACGCCGGCTGTTGCGGCAATGCGGTTCTGCC